AAAAAAACGACTAAATTTAAATGTTGTTCAATTTAATCTGATTTAATCATGAAATGTACTTATTTTAAAACAATTAACAATGATAAAGTTTCATTAAAATACACACATTTCATTTTAATAATTTTTTCGTAATGAAAAAAATCTTTAAATGTTTGAAATGTCTGATAATTGCTTTATTCTATATATACTAAGAGCATTAATACTTTGTATAATTATTGATTAGAATTATAGTTCATTTTTAATTTTGTTGGGTTAAATTTTTCATTTCAACACATGATTATAATCACTATTAGTATAACAGAATATTTATACTAAATTATAAGAATAAATGATATTGAAACATTAATTTTATCATTGAGCTATTAAGTTATTTATTTTGAGCAAAAAAGATAATACAATAAGTATCAATTCTGTTATTTTATTGTTATTTTCAACAAGTCTACTTCAAAGGTATTATTCATTGAAATATTAAATCAGATTAGAATAAATTTATAACAACAAAACTTATACGATAAGAAATGATATAATTCCTTCAGTATCTACAACTTAGTTTTGACGTCAGGTTATTTGCTAGTATATTGCTTGTAACAAAAACAACCACCAATAAATACTTCAAAGAAGTTTAATTATCATACACTTTCTAATAATATTCTGTTCGATACTATGGTGCTAGTATATTAAATATATGTGAATTAAATCATCTAAATACTTTTGATATGTTATTTAGTATAGTTTATGAAGTCGTTGTATCATCTGAACAAGAATATGACAGAGTAAATTTCAAACAAAAAAACATCTTATTGCTAATCTTTTATGTATTATTCAGTTTTCTAAATATATCAAATTAAGACAAAGAAATACTTGAGATAGACTTTTAATAATAAAGTATCATTCTTTAAATTATCATCAACTTTCAAACCCAAAAAAAAACAATGATATGCATTAAATACAAATATAATTCATTAGAAATTTACCTAATTTGGTTGTATTTATTCGTTAATTGACTAACAAACAACTTAAATATCAAATCTGTATGTTTCAAAACACAGATGAAATTAAAATAAACTAGTTGAAAATTAAGTATGAAAAATTAACTTACTAAAAGCATATTACTTTAACCTTGATGGAATAAAGTTATTTGGATAATAAGAATATAGATAAAAGTAGAAAATACAAATCAATTTTATTAATTTATCAACTAGAAAGAGACAGAAATATGAAAATCATGAAAAGAATATGAAATAAAAAGACTTTTAGACTATTTCAACAAAGAAATAGCATAAACAATGAAAAATGAATTAAAATGAATCAGTTTCGAGTTTCTGATGACCAAACAAGGAATCTTCAATTTGATCAAATTGATTTTGTGTTATGATTAACTTATAAGAATTAACTATAAAAGGAACATCTGTTTGAGCTGCAATAAAGTAATGATCATCCACAGCAGACTTGAATAAGAGAATGAACATATCAAATGGTAAAGGATTAGGACAAGAAAATGTATATTCAGAATATATTTTATTTATTTTTAAAGAACAAGAGTTATTTGATGAGAGTTTAAATGAAATATATAATAAATAATTAAGATGATATGATGTGTTATTGATTAAGTCAACATTTTCTTTAATTATTTTATGACCGATACACAAAGGTTGAGTAATTGTAGTAAAAAATGAATTTAAAGAATTGTCATTAGCATTTGGGTTAGTTTGAAGATATTCTAAAAATGAAAATGACGATGTGATAATAAATAGTCTTGAAGGATTATAATAATATAACTTCTCTACAAATATCATAATTTTCTTTTTTATATCATCATTTGTTGTTTGGACTGACAAAGAAACAACATGTTGTATTGATTCAAGTGAAAGAGGAAGAAATACAATACGTTTATAATGATAACCTAATTGAGTTGATAATGGATTATAAGAAAAGTAAACTAAATGAATAGTAATATTATGTAATGCACAAAATGATTGTAAGTATTTGAGGTATTGAATTTGTTCATCTTTAAGAATTTTTTCAAAGTCATTAATTAAAATAATTAGTGTTTGTTTATTACTTCTACCCATTTTTATTTGTTCCTTTGTAATAAGTTGAGAAATAGAAATTAATGGCTTTGACTTTATCATACGAATAAATGACATTAATTGTTGATTAAATTGAATAAGTCTATGACAGTATATTCCATTTAAACATTCTTTAATAATCATAATTGAATCATCATCATAATTTCTGTGAATTAAAATAGTTTCTCCTAAACTACTTGCCTTAAAATATTGAGTAAGTCTCTTTTAAAATAAACAAGTATTACAAACTGAAGAAATAATAGTATAAAATTCATTAATTTCTTTAACACGTTCTGGAAAACAAGAAACGACATGTTCGTAATGGACATTCATCTGAAATCTTAGTTTAACTTTTGGTTAGTATTGTTGAACATATCTGAACTACAAACATTTTTCTTTTCCAACCCTAAAATAAGTTATTTAAATTAAATGTAAGTTAGAGGAGAATTCAACATATTAGACCTAAGATATTTAATAATTAAAAAGAAATGAATAAACTTATACCACCCCACAAGATGCAGAAAACAACTATTGTGGATGGAGTAGAAATTACAACTGACCTTTTTGAAGAAGAGCCTCATTCACCACCAAAAAAAGAAGAATATAATTCTTTGATTATAACACAAACACCAATATCTCAACATCATGATAAAGAGGATATTGCAACAATGAGTGATAAAGATAAAGAAAATGAAAAAAAACCAACAATAAAAAGTAAAAACAAAAAATTAAAGAAGAAAGAAGTAAAGAAGTATGTTTGTTCTGTTTGTGGTCATGAGTGCAATACAAATGGTGCTTTAGTTTCTCATAAAAGAATACATGATCCTAATTCAAAGAAATATTCATGTCCTGAATGTGGAAAGAAATTTAGAACAATGGCAGAAGTAAGAAGACACTCAGTTACTCATACTGGAGATAAAAAATTTATTTGTCCAATTGAGAATTGTGGGAGATGTTTTACAACAAAGTCATATCTTGATAAACATATTGAATCACATAAAACAAATCAAACATATCAATGTACATACCATGGATGTAATAACTCTTTTTTTATGAAAAGTGAACTTATTGCTCATGTAAAAGAAAAACATCAAAATGTAGTTGGTAATAAAAATGCAGCATTTTGTTGTCCTTATGAAGGATGTACTAAAGCCTTTGAATATCCTTCTCATTTATTTAAACATTGTGCTGCACAACATCAAAAGAATGAATTTGTTTGTGGATTTGAAAATTGTTATGAAACATTTAGTCGTGAAGAGTTGTTGTGGGAACATATTTCTTCAATTCATGGTATGGACAAAGAAAAATATCAAGAAGAAAGAATAGAATGTCCAAAATGTGGTGTTGTTGTATTAAAAAGAACCTTACAACAACATATGAGAAAAGCTCATACTGAGAAATCAATTTGTTTTAAAGATGATGGAACAATTGTTACTGATGAAAAGAAACGATGGTTTGAATGTTGTAAGTAAACTTTTTGTATTTTTCTTTTTGTTATAATACAATGTATTTGTCTTAAATTCTTTGGATTATTCACAAAGTGATGGATATTTTCTCTATCAAAATGTTTTTTTTT